TTCGGAGGCTTTGAAAACCCTATAAAAATGTGTGCTAGTCACTGACAGAAATGTCTACAATAACTGTAACTTACCGTAATGTATTAGAGAAAATTCAGGTGTCGCTGTCTATCACAACATTGTTGACGTTGGCAACACAGAGCAGTGCAGCACGTATGGCATTACCGCAGGTCAGATGGCTTTCGTTTTATTGGTTGAGATTTCATAGCAAAGGTTTACAGTTCGCGACTCGCACGCGCGATCGTACACGAGTGCCCAGTCCCTTAGCTGCTGTAAGTATGTATCGCGGATTCTGCCAATCTTATCTGTCTATCTACGGCCGACCTTTGAAAGATGAGGTCATGTGGGAGGCGAGCCACTGGGAGCGTGAGCCACTGGGAGCGCAGCTTAAGCTCTGTCGCCACGCCAGCTCGCCATCCCCATCAGCTGAAATGTCGAGCGGAGAGGGAGGTAAATGGGGGAACAGCCATCTACTCAGCCATCAGATACGGGGACATTGGAAATAGACGGGCAAGAGGGTGGGAAAGAGGACGAGTCAAAGCGAAGAAGTCTGCAACGATGACGCAACCCAGAACCAGAACTCTTTCTGCCCCCTTCCGTGGTCTTGCTTACCAGGAAAGTGACTTTCTAGTATTAATCTTATCATTGCATCATGATAGAAATGCTGTTCAGGCGTCGTATGTGAAAGCTATTGATGTATGGATGGGTGCATGCATGGCTTTTGTATTTTCTGCTATGATAGAGTTTACGGTAAGTTACTCCTTCTAGCAGCGACCTAGAGTTCCAAGTATTTGCCTGAATACCTTCCTCCAGGTTGTGAATTACTGTACTCGTCGTAAGCAGAGAAAAACTACTGCTCCTACGAAAAGCCTCAGTGAACAAGTGCAAAGTCTGGTCGCTCAGTATAAGGACAAAAGAGCGGTGGGTTCTATCGGATCTTATTGATTTTCCACAAGACTTTCACTGATTGATAGTTTCAGAGCACAGATTCTGCTATTTATCAAGAGGTTGGTGAAAGTTCTTGGGTGCTTGGGTGGGGCTTTATTACTTGATTTCGCTATTCTCCTTTGCTTGAGATTCTACATGAATAAATACAGATAGAATATGGGGTTAGCAAGGTGTAGAGGCGCTACAAATGGCCCTATTATCAAGCGGGAATAGATCTTCCACGGCTGACGCTTCCTTCAGTCCTTGGGGCAGTGAAGTCCCTGGGGAGGGGATTTTTGTGGGACACTGCTTATGTAGGTCGAACACGTAATGAAACCCTTACTCCCTCCAAAGAGCAAGGCGTTGCGTGGCGCATTCAGAAATGGGACTACCCTTATCCGGAGCCCTATCTTTTTTGGGGTCAGAGGAGGGGGTAAAGGAAACAAGACTTGCGCTACAGGCCAATCTCTGACAGTTGCTTACAGAGCTTCTTCCAAGGCCTGAAAAGAACCTGGCGAGAAAAGGTAAGAAGAGAAACTGTCCCAGCCCCTCCCCTGAGACGACCATCTCCTAAATTTTTGAGATTGAGCGCTTAAAAACATTCGTGTTTCCTACCGCTCTTCTTTCAATTGAAGCTTACTTAGGCTTCAAAAACCATTCGTCGTCGCCCAGTTGTTGTAATAACTCTGGCGATCATAATCTGACCATAGCTTGGGGTGTTTTGAGATGGCAGATTTGGCCCACTTCTGCGACTGTGAACCTTTTTTCGCTCCATCAGGCATCATAAATATCCCCCAGCGAAAAAGGCCGGCATTCAGCGTGGCGTGGCTAGAGCCGTCTTTCTATGCACTCATGAAATGCAACCCCTATATATTCAAGCGGGAGACTATCCGCCCAACGTCTTAACGATATCACAGTACGCACTAATTGCATGCTAATTGTATGGGCGGAGACAGTCAACCATCTGCACCTTCCTAAGAGTGCACCACTCTTACGACTGCAAATAAGCGGTTGGGCCAATTAGGAAGGCATAAGCTCTGAAATACTATTTGTACGCTGTGATTTCAAGCTGGTAAACTTACAACTTGGATGTTGCCAGTTTCAAGCATTAGAAAAATAAAAAAACCGGTCCCAAAAAGTTTTCAGCCTTTTGTAGGCGAGAGAATTATACTATCCTATCCTTTCCCACTGTCAACTCACACTGTAAACTCTTTTGACACTTTGAAATGTTGCATGCATTACTTGGTAGAAACCTTGGAGAGGGCATTCGGAGGATTCACAATGCAAATTAGAACGAGTAAAACTGCCGCTCTCGGAACTTACCGACTGATACTCTAGCTCCCTTCCTATTAAAGCTTCAGCGAAACTCGTTATTGTCCATCGTGGTAGTTCGAGTTTGGCATGAGGAATCCTTCGAATGCCCCCTCCAAAGTTACCGATAGATATGTTCATGCCAAAGCTTCTCTTTTCGAATTTTCTCTGTTTCAGTACCAAAATGGTACCGCGCCTTATGAGGTGTCCTTATTCGGTAGTGGAACAGACAACTCGCAAAGTTTACACAAGAAACAAATACGTGAGCTGAATCAGCCTACGGTCCTGATGCGACGGAACTTTTTGCCAAGTATGAAGAGAAAGGCAATCGAAGAACGGTGGGTTCCAGTTTGGACGAGTTCTCTTGGCACGTGGACGAGTTACCCTCCCGTACGAGTCATTGGTTATGGCAGTTCATGCAGTTCTATTCCTCTTTCTTGGAAGTTACACATCCAACACAAAAAACTTGTGAAACTTTCAGAAACTTCTCCGAACAAGGGGTTTTCCTAGAGTGTTAAATCCATGTGGGTGCTGCTCGGCTTGGGAACGGGGGCATTTAGCACTTTAGCTAGTTCTTCCTACTACTCCGTGTCACCTAACAGGTCTTACTCCGGTGAGACCTGTAAACACTTGTAAAGCTGTGAAGTAGCGCAAGTGAGCTACTTTTGTTACAGAGTTACAGAGTGTTCACAAAGGTAGGCCCGCAGAAGCAAAACAACCGCTAAAAGCGGCCCACCAGAGAGCGAAGCTGACCTCTGTGTGGCGAAACCCGTAGCCGACGCTTTATACAGCTATCAGGCCCAACATATGTTCATCTAAAAAAATGTATATACTTGCAGAATAAGACGGAGTGGAAGGAATCGAAAGTATGAACGCAGATTGATCGGATGCGGACGCTATCGAGATTTACTTCCAATGGCCTAATGTCATATATTCAACTTCATCTATTGGCATGTACTACATCAAATTCGCTGAAATACGTGGAGTGATGAACAATATAGGGCATAAAAAAACCCCAAATAAGGGTGAATCTCTACCAGGATGAGTATCCGGACAAGCTTGGAGAGCCAGGACAGCCAGCAATGGCATTTTTCAGAGTATGGGCAGAGTGGTTACAGCATGTTCCGCTAGCTGGTATAGTTAGGCGTGCCATCTAGCGTGAATGAGGAAACAGCCTTGCATTACTGTGTGTGCTGTCCATGAATACGTCTTTACTGTGTATTCTGACGTCAGTGGTACGTCATCTACCTCTGAACAGGAAGCATGACTGTGCACCTTTGCTCTAAATCACCACCATTAGAGTCCAGTGCGATCATTTTCTTGAGCTTGAAGCTTGTCCTAAGTAATCTGAACCTGACCTCATCAGCCTAGTAAGATTTACTCTCAGTAGCGCAAATCTCGGAGTCTTCTGAAAACTCGCAGTTATAGCGTCACTTCCCTGAGTTGTTACCTCAAACCACCAAACGATTTAGCTCTATGGCGAGCAACCGCCTCTTCAGCTATTTGTTTATCCTGGATCTTATTGCTCAAACAATGGTTACGTTCGGTAGGCTGATGGATGAAATATGGTCTAATTACTTCCTTAGAGCCCCCTCCCCGCAACGAGATGTATCGTCTCAATTCCCAGTAGAATGACTTTGTCTAATATCTGTCAGGCTTGTCAAGATATTAGAGAAAAGCCTGGATACGCTGTTGTTGGTTATTAGCGGGCTCGCCAGGAGCCACTGCAAGATCCCACAATCTATCAATACCTGCCGTGAAGGGCGACCTAGTACGCTGTGAGTTAATGCTCACTTCAGTGCGATAGGTTCGGCGACGGCCGCCAGCCCGTCTCCATTTACACTGTTGTCGCTTGACTCGCCCAACAGATGAAGCAGGAATGGGCTGGCCACGCTACCTGACATGTCGGGGCGGAAAGGGGGGGGGGGGAAGCGTACAACCCCCTAAAAAGAAAGGAGGCGTCGTATAGACTTGACTAAATCTGCAACAATGATGTGCAGCTGGGGCAACCGTATCACTGTAAGCATCAGTGAGCATTTTCACAGACCCTCCCGGTGTACGTCATGGCCAGATCTGGCTGAAAATGAGTTGTTAAAGGTCAAAGACCCAACGGTATCCCGCACTCGTGGCATGAGTGGATCCAGCCCTACGATTGTGCTTCTCTTAATGGAGCACCTCCTCCCTTCATCATGTTCCAGTGATGGGGCACACCATGTATGGAAGGTGCAATGTTTAGCCTGACCCCACCCAGACGGACTGATATGTGAACCGTGCTTTCTACTTTCCAGTGAGGCTTCCGTTCGACAATGATCGTCAAACCGTAACAGGGCTTTGAAAAGGAGATGTCGAACTCATATTATGCAATTTCGCTGCCAAAAGTCGAATTTCCATCAACAGCACAGGCCGCGCTGACCAGAGTTGAGGGCAACTTAGCTTATGAAATATCGGGAGTTAGGGACCTCACTTTCTCCGGTAACCCCGCCCACCTGATTATCATGGAATGTGCCTTCGAAGTTAAAGTTCATACGGCGATCAATACATATGTGTTAGTGTGTGTTCGCCCCTCTCCCATCCATCAGGACGTGCCCAGACTTCTTCTTTGTTTTGAATTGTTTTGGTTTTGTCTACTGGTATACTGTACTGAACAGGTTTTGACTCTACCCAGTGTACTTTTTTCGAGTGATTGTAAATATCATTTGTTCTCATTTTTTGGATATGTTCAGCTGTTTTTGCCTTTTCCAGACTCAATAAAGTTGTTATTGCTGAAGTCCTCTCTTGGTAGAACAATGCAGCACACAGTTATGTGGCGAAATAGACAATAACTCATTTGTTTAACGCATTTTTGAGCTCGTAACCCTTCTAAACGGGTTTTTACGCATGATACGATGGAGGGACTACTAGAATGGTAATAAATAATTTATTTAGTCTTGCAGTGCAACTTAGACCGAACATCTGATAAATAAGCGAATAAATAAATAAATAAGTTAGCCCTTATAATCTGGAATAGCCGCTCTTTTGTTCACGTTTCACGGCAGAATCTTCCGTCGGGACCATAATAGTACGATCGGGACAAGGACAATATTGTGCGTCTTCGCCTGGTATTCCAGGCTCTCCTGGTAGTCCGGGCTGTCCGTCTTCACCATTCTCTCCAGGATTTCCTGGTGGTCCTTCGGGTCCAGCTTCACCATCTGCTCCAGGAGTACCTGGCTCTCCATCGGGACCTGGGTTCCCAGCAGGTCCTTCACGTCCAGGATTTCCTGCGGGTCCAGGACCACCGCGTCCCATCCTTCCATTCCTACCAGGCGTTCCTGGCCTTCCATCACGTCCTGGCCTACCAGGTCTTCCAGCATTACCTTCTGGACCGGGTTCACCTGGTGTTCCATGTATACCCGCTTCTCCGGGGGCACCATGCATACCATCGGGACCAATATCTCCTTCGGGACCATCTGGACCAGGTGGTCCAGGCACTCCTGGAGGGCACATGATGCATGATGTGGGATCGGTGGATGGGTAGATGATGCTGCTCGCGGAGGGACCTGGCATTCCCGGTTGTCCATCTTCACCATCAATTCCAGGCTCTCCAGATTCTCCCGGTGGTCCTGGCGGTCCGGGTGGGCAATTATTCGGTTGAGCTCCACAGCTGCTACAAGTGTCTGAGTCGTCTTTGACCTTACCGCCTTTCTTGACTCGGTTCTTCCTTCGTAACGGGTGAGCATCACGAGGAGATCTGTCATGAGCGTAGTTCGTGGAAATCATTTTCGACCAGGCGTCGTCGGTAAAGAACTGAAATAAAGGAATCTTTGGGAGCCCGGAGGGAACAGCTGAGGATAAGCTCACCTTGAATTCCTCCATATCCTTCATGGTATCGTCGTAGAAGTTATTAATGTCATTAAAAAGGTAGCCGAAAGCTACAAGAGCGGCCAGAATAGCAACACCGCTAGCACCGGAGGCGATACCGACGAGGGTTCCTGTCATAGCTGAATTGGCTCGAGTGATTCGAGCTGCTTGCCATCCACTTGACTGCTATGCTTTTATAGCATGCCGTCGGAGGTTTGAATAACTTGCTAAGGGTGCTTGCGCAGGAGGTCACTCACAGGTGGAAATCCATCGGATCTCCGCGATCTCTGAAGTCTGCCAGTTTTTGACGATACTCGTCTGCTACGTTATGAAGTTCCACGCAGAAACATTGCGCAACATGCAAGCAGAAGAGATTCAGTCCGATGCTAATCTCGTAGCCTGATGGCGAGCTCGCTGGAGCTGGACCTGCCCTCGTTAGATCTTATGGTGTTCAGCTACTGAACGAACGCTGGGCAATCGGGGCATCATTGGATAGAACCAAATCAACCGCAATACAGAGGAGTTGGGTTTTGGCCAAATCTGAAGAGAGAAATGAGCTGTTGTGGGGCGGCTGAACCAGTCACCCCACGTATGTGGACTGTCTAGTTGAGATGAAAGCTGCCTTCCTAGCCTGCCACAAAAAAATCCCTCACAATATCCCAATCAAAACTCTCCCCCAATAGCCCTAAACAAACACCAAAAGTCCTTCGTTCTGAATGTTTTACCTTTCGATTAGCCCGCAAAACTGCGACACTCGATCCAGGCTGATCCTACCTGTGCTACCCCACCTGGAATTTCTTTATCCAGACCATTCCTTCCCTTGCTACCCCACCTGACAACTAGTTCTGATCCTAATTCTTTGGCTTCTCTTCACAATCAGGCTCCTGGCGAACTACCCAACCTCTCGCGGGTCCCGCCCTCTGCGGACAACAGGAGCTTCCATACTGCTCGGACACGCTCCTCTGCGCTTCACGATTTTATCTTCGCGGTCGAATCCGTTAATTGTGTATCAAACACCTCACACCCACAGACAGCCGCCTCGGGTGACCGGTCAGCAATTAGATGGCAGCTGCCTCGTCTTGGCCAAGGTAATAAAGGTTGCACGAGTTGCGACCCTCAGTCAGGTAGCGAAACTTGATCACTTTGAAGCTGCTCGGTACGTCGTTAGAGTCGCCTCGAAAAGTGTGGCTGCTTCTTTTAGCTGCAACTTCCGACCACCTAGCAGCCATATACCCAGGTGGATTATCGCGGCAACGCCTGAAAGTGACTGCAACGATCCTATGCTGCAACAGGGCAGCTATTTGATTACGCGTCTCGTGTTCACCGGGTGCGTGAGACTCACGCTTGTCTGATCGCGGCTGTGTAATATCAAGCCGTGTAGCTCCATGCCAGATTATCCAGCGTCTCGGCGCCAGGCAATTTCATTATGGGATTTCGAGGACAAACAAAAGCTGAACGTTTGGGGTCAGCAAAAATGTTACAGCTTCTGCATGAGAAATACACTCTGGAAAACCAGAAAATAGAGGATACTCAGCGCCTTAAGCAGTCCTTCTGTCGGATGCGCCATGAATTCCTTAATCTGCGTTCAAAATCATAAGCGGCTTGATGGCGCTTGCCCTGCGTCTAAACCAATGACCGCAGCGGATCAGACAATATAGCAATACACACGTTTTACCCGTTCCAGACCAGCCTGGCAACAAAGCACCCACCCGGGAGGGATGGTAGGCTTGTTTGGCCCTTCAGTAGAAAATCCGAGGTCACTTCCCACACCCACTACTAACGAACGATAAGTGCAGATAAGTAAGTCAATGAATGCGCACCTCGGGATTGTCCGCCCTTAGCCTGCCAATTTTGTTGAAGAACGATAAGATATCGAACGATATTGCACTGTAATAATTTTCGAGGGTGCTGTCCCCTGTTGTCACCTTTCCAACCATCTCTGCGAACGCGCCACCCTCTTCATGCCCACTTCCAGGTGTTCTATGGGAATTTACAGTCCAATGACAGTGATACTCGCCACTATAGTCTCGTTCATTGCGGATGATGGGCGTGTCAGGAAAGATGGGTTCGGCGCAGCGCCAGTCCGTTTTCCACCACTTGTTGTCGTTGGCTTGCTTCAACAATTGGTGAAGAACGGGCTGGCGCCGCGCCAAGTTCATCTATTGGCACGCCGCAGCATCCGCAGTGAACAAGACTGCATTACAGCAAGAATATAAGGCTTATAACATTACAGCTGAGGGGAGCACGGGCAAGATTAGACCCCGCCGATTTTGTGCCCGTCTGCACCCTTACCAGTGTCATTCACACGTGCAGCCCTCTGTATCTTGGTGGAGGTAAGAAAGAGGGGGAGGGGGTATAGATAGATCTCTCCGCTGACTGCCCCCGCCGAGTACATTGACTTATTTGCACTGGATGTCTCAGCTGTTCTCAACAGAACCTGATGTATAGCAACGATTCGTTGTATTCGTGAAAATACAAGAGCGCCAACGTAGTTGGGGGAGGTGGAGGGAGGGGGGGGGAGGGGGGGGCGGAGGGGAGAGGTGGAGAGGTGGTAGGAGGGAAGATACCACTCGGGCGCCCCTTCGTTTTTTCCCTGAACAAGGCTAACCTCAACGAAGACATTGTTTCCTCTGGGAAATTATCTTTTAATGGGCTCTCGCCGCCTGCACTCTGATCCTAAACCTTCCTTCGGGGAATGACACAGAGAACCGCACAGTGTCCCATCCCCAGTTCCCCACTACCAAATTAGCGCCAGTACAATAGATCATTGAGCAAGCAAGCATGGTTTTTATAGAAGGATTTGCAACAACGATAAAAAAATCAACAATCAGAATCGATAACAACGTGACAACAAGTAGCAACATGATACTCAAGCATAACAACAATCTTTGAAGAGATATTCCGCGATAATCGTGTGGGAGGGAACGGTGAGAGATTCTTAACCCTTGTGTCTTCGTCGTTGGTTCGTTTTTCCTATTTTGCCGATCAGAAGGAAAGCCTGCCCAATGAGGAAGGATGATAGTTTACAAA